ATAAATTATTTAGTTATTGCCAGTTTATTATCAGAGAATTTTGGTACAAGTGATCGTCGGAAAGAGTTAATGATTTGTGTCCAATTTATTTTTTTATCTAAACAAAAATTCATTTTAAAATTATATTAATTTTGAAATTTTTTATAAATTTTTAATTTTATATTTTATTTTTATTATCATATTTACATAAATTTTAATAATTCTAATTTTATTTGTTTTGAAAAAAAATTTATTTTTGAAATTTAAAAAATCATTTCAAAACATTATATATTTATATATTAAATATATTTTGAAAAAATCTTATAGAAAATATAAAAAATTTGTTTAAAAAATTTGTTTAAAAAATAGATTTATTTTTACTTTATATTATTATAACTTTTTCATAAAATACAAATTATTTAATTAATTTAGTTAAATAATAATTTTTTTTCAAAATAAATTATATAATAACAAATAATAAATTTATATTTTTTTTAACATTTTTCTGATAAAAATAATTTTTTCTCATAAATTTATTAATAAATTTGAAGTTTTTATTTTGAAAATTTTTTTTAAATATAAAAGATATATAATTTTGTATATTTTTTTTTTATCATTAAAAAAAATATCTAAAAAATTTGATGAAATTGAAAAACATATAGATGAAATTAAAAATATTATTAACAAAATTAAAATTTATTTAAATGCTTGTAAAAAAAAGAAAAAAAGAAAAAATATTAACCAAATAGTATATGAATCTAATAAGAAAAATAAATAGTCATTATTTTTTGATAAATGTTTAAAAAAGAGTATTCTAATAAATAAAATAAAACAATATTATAATAAAAATTTAGATCTTGAACAATTAATTTTTTTATTACCTTAAAAATATAAATACATTAAACATTATTTTATTATTCTGATATAAATTCTAAAGAAAATAATAAAGATAGTGAAGAATACTATAATCAATATATAAGTGATTTATTAATTAGTATATTTGAATTAGTTAGAATAACAATTATTATTTTATTAATTTATTTATTATTTATAACACTTGTTAAATTTAAAAAACATTCAAATTTATTTAAAAATTTTTTATTTCCAATTAGTATTTCTTACTATAAATTGATGAATTTTTTAAATAATAGGTTAATTGATTTTTTATCAAATATTGAAACTTGAAAATGTTTCAATTAAATAATTTGAAACCTATTTCTTTTGCTGAATACAACAATAAAGCATCATTAACATCATTTTTATTAAATACTATAAGTATCAGTAAAAAAGAAAATAATAAAATTAATAAGCAACAAAATAAATTACTAAATAATATTAATAAAGAAGAAAAAAATAAATTATTCAAACTTTTAAGACAAAATATAATAAAATCACAAAATTAGAAAAGGAAATATCTAAAGTAAATAGTGATTTATTAAAATTTAGAATTGAAGATAAAAAAAAATATTTAACAAAAAGAATTGATATTTTAAAAAAACAAAATATTAGTTTAATCAAAGATAGAAATAAAACAGTTAAAAATTTACTTGAACTGGGTAAAACATTAGATAATTTTTTGAAAAAAATAATTAATGAAAATGTTATTAAAAAATTAGAAAATACAATATTATTATCAACTATAAATTCTGATAACATTAAAAACACAAAGGGAAAATCTATAAAAGATAAATCAAATCCTAAAAAAAAAATCAACAAAATCTTAATTATTTTCAAAAACAATTAAAAGCTTGTTTCAATACAAATTAATTATTTTTAATTTATATTTTATTTACATTAAAATGAATAAACATAATTTTTCTCAAGTATTTGATAGTTATACAAATATTTCTAAATCAAAAAAATAAACTTTCTAATGATTTATTTACAAATCTTTTTGGTAATAATGTTGATAATTTTTCATTGTATAATAATATAAAATATATTAGTAATAAAGTAAATCTAATAAATATATTTGAATTACCATGTGATATAATTTGTAATCCTGAAGATACAGATAATAGTATTCAAAAAAGACCTAGTAGTTCATCTTCATCAAATAAAATAGTTTCTATTTTTTTTTAAATACACTATTTATCGATACTTCTAGAATATTTGAAACTAGTATTGTAGAAGAAAATAATGAAAAAATTAATGATGATACAATAAAATATAGAAAACCTAGTTATACAAAAAAAAATATTATTACAAATTCCTTAATTATAATAAATCGATTTGGATAAACAATTTCTAAAGAAGTATCCAAAGCATCTAGATTAAAATTATATGGATTTTTTTTTCAAATTGATATGAATATTGTATTGAATACAAAAAGTAATAATAAAATACCTTTATATGATAATATAAAATTATATAAACCATCTGGTAATTTTATAGTTATATTATCTCTTTTAATTGCAAAAGATAAAATACTAAAAGATAAAAATAGAAATAATATAAATATTTTTTTAAAAGAAAATATTGGGTTAGAAGATATTTTTAAAAAAAGAACATATAGATTTGATAATACTGATAAAAATATGCAATTATGATTAATTGAGGAAAACTGAGAAAAAATAACAGCAATTGATATACCAATTAATGTAAATGAATTGTTAAAAAACAATCAAACTAAATGTTGTGATACATCCTTTTGTCATAATTTTAGTATATACATTTATTATTCTTATATTCAAACATTAAAAGAACAAAAATCTGAATTACAAAGAATGCCTTTTGGTATAAAAAGAGTTGATAAAGAAAAAAGTATAATACTTTATTATTATGATAGAGATAATCAAACTAATATGACTGGTTATCAACCTAATGTTATTTGGGTTTTAACAGTAATTGCAGATCTAAAAATAATTAAAGAAAAAATTGAAAATAGTTTAAAAATAGGTTTAGAATATAATAATGATATAACACATTTTGGTAAAACACCAAAATTTCCTACACATTTTGGTCCTTTTCTTATTATTAATAAAGTAATGCCTATGATGGGTTATAATACAAATATGGATAGTATGGCAAATCTCAAATTTACTATAGAATCAGCAATGCAACAATTAATAGACACTGTTAAAAAAATAATAAATAATCCTTCTAATTCAGGTAAATATAATTATAAAAAAAAATCAATTACTAATAATAATTTTTATCAAATTATAAAGAAAAATCTTCAGAACCTGAAGATACTTTTGATATAAACCAAAATCAAAATCCATCATCACCCAAAGAAAGAATATTTGATTAATTTAAATTTCATATAAATATAATTATAAAACTAAATAAATTATATAAATGGATTTTTTATTTGATGTTAAAGAAATATTATCATATTACAATAAAAAAATAAATAAAAAAACAAATCTTTTTGATATACAACCTAATAGTAAATTATATAATCTTATACAAAAAGATGAAAGATTAGGACCTTGGCATATTAAAGAATTAAAAAATACTATCAAAAAAAGAAAAAATAAATTAATAGAAAATATTAAATCAATAATTATCAATGAAAAAAATAATGAAAATATAGAAAAATATTTTAAAATATTAAAAAATATTGATCCTTTTTTCCTAAAAAATAAAAATGAATTTCTAAATGAAATTAATTTATTATAATTAAATTAAAAATAATAAAAGAAAATAGACTAAATACAAATATTTTAAAAATTTATATTTCTATTAATTTTAAACAAAGAAAAAATAATTTAATCAAATTAAAACTAATATATTTTCTTTTTGGATACCTTTTAAAAAAAAGTATAGATTTAATAATTAAAAGATATAATAAAATTGTTAAAACAAATATAGAAACAACTGATAATATTTGTAAATTAATTTTAAATCTTATTAAATTTTATAAAGAAAATTTTTATTTACATCTTTGGAAATCTATAATAAAAAATAATATACATAAAAATAGAAATAATTTATATTATAATAAAATTAAACAAATAGATAAAAGATTGTTTTTAGAAATTATAGTCTTATTATTATCTGTTAAAAGAAATAATGATATTTTTTTATTTAATAGATTATATTTACAAATAGGTTAAATATTTAACAATTTGATAATTTAAAAATATATATAAATTTACTTTATTAAAATATTGTTAATAAAAATGTTTTTTTATTCTTTTTTTTGATTTTAATACCAAATATATTTTCAAATACTTATACATGTATTCTTGTAAATTCAGATAAAAATCTTATTTAATATATGAAATTAAATCTTTACAACAATCAAATTCAGAATTTTAATCCAAATATAAAATATTTTTACAAACTAATAAATAATCATAATAATTATGAAAATAATTACAACCATAACCCTTTACCTTATATTAATTACATAGATGATCTATATGAAGAGTATTAAATCAATATATTATAACTGTATAAACTATGATTCATATAATAAAATTATCAGTAATTGTATATCTGGAAATACATCTATTTGCAAACTTTCTTAAATAAAAAATGCTTTTGATGAACTTTTTAATATTATTTGGAATACCTATATTAAAAAATATGATTTAATATCATTATCAGAATATCTTAATGCATTTAATGAATATGCTCAATATGTCAATGATTAAATCAAAAAAGATGAAACACATATTACAAACATGTTATATAAAGAATTTAAATCTTTATTAGAAAATGATAAAAAAAACATTTTAGATTATTGTAAAGCTAATAAATATGAAAAAATAATTAATACAAATAAATTACTAAAAAAAATAGAATTGTATTACATTCTATAAGAAAAAATATTTGTAATTCATTAACAAAAGAATTACCAAATAAAGAAAATTTTCTAAATAATATTCTAAAAAATAATAAAGATTTAGATTTATTAATATATAAAGGTTTTGTTTATAGTTTTTTAAATATAAAAATGTGATCAATAAAATAAGTAAAGAAAAAGTAATTACTTTAGAAAAAAAATGATTAGATGTTATAAAAAATTCTACAACAATAAATTTGTTTAAATAGTGAAAATATTTATTATCAATTTCATCAGATTTAAATATCAATAACATTTATTAGATTTTTAAAACAGTTAATAAATTAAGCATGAATACAAAAGATAAAAATTTTTATAAATTAGTAGGATCTACATTTGTAAAAAATCCAATTAAATACAATCAAGAATATAAAAATATATGTACATCTGAAATAATAAAAATGTTGGAAACAGAAATAGATTGCAATACTTTAACAACAGATGAAATATATAATTTTTTATTCAAAAATAAATATTTTAATAAATTAGTTAAATTTAATATTGATAAAATTAATAATATACATGCACAAATAGTATTATAAAAACAACAAATACAAAATTATTGTGAAATTGACTTTTTAATAGATGATTTTTTAACAAATAATAGATTTGAAAACTTTATGTAAGGTGGAATTTATAAACTATTTTTTTGGAATTCAAAATCATTTTCTAATAATCAAAAAAAATTATTGAAAATAAATAGTTAGAAAATATGAATAGATTAGTAAAATTAAAGAAAAATACTAATATGATCCAATATTTAGATAAATTATTAACAATATTAGAAGCTTTAAAACATAATCAACTTTTTACACCAGGTTCTTTTAGTCTATTTTCACAAAATCTAAATTCAGAAAGAGAAATATATAAAAATTATATTAATAATAATAGTTTTATTCAATTGTTGATAGAATCAACAAATATATTAAATGATGTTAAAAAAGAATTTAATAAAAGACTACATAGAGGACCAGGTTAATGATGGCCAGACCCAATGTACAGGACAGGCTATGGTATCCTGCACTGCTATGCAAGCTGAGCATACAATGAGTGAATCTACAGAAGAACTTTCTACTTCCTTAAATTCTACTTCATTATCTCATATCAAAGAAGAACTACAAGACTTATCTTACAATACACTATATGATCCAGACTCATGCTATAACTTGTGGTTAGCAGGGTTGAACCTACCTCTACTTCCACATCTTCAAACACTTAGCTTCTTTTTAAAACACATTCATTATTACAACTATACACAATTAAACAATTTTAACTATGCACTTACAATATTAATCAAAATTAATTATAGTGAATGCTATATACATTTACTACACAAATTTCAACCTTTACTTGAATATTTTTTTTTATGACTATCAGACTATATTTATTATCTATCTATACCCATTCCTTCTAAATTTTCTTTAACAAACAACAACATATCAAATACAAATTTAATTATAAAGGAAAATGATATAAACTACTCTTACTTTCAACTAGTAAAAGCCATTTTAGAAGGTCATGATGAAACTAATATAGCTAAACAACACTATGACAACATCCAATTTAATATCTGCTACAACAAATTTCTATTCTACAACTATCTATTACTGCTTTCTCATTTACAAACTATTACTTCTTTTCTACAACATATCCATAACTTTGGCTATTTATCTGAAAATGCTTGTGGCTATACATTAACAATCTTTATTAAAAATGATTATAGTAAAGCTTATGTTTATTTTTCATCAAAAAATAAACTATTACCTAATCACTTTATTTCACTAATTCAAAATATTTGGCATTATCTGAATATTCAGCTAAAATCAAATATATCAACACTAGTTTTCTCTATACCAATACCTTTAGCTCCTACTTCTAGCAATTTAACACAACTCAAAAATCCTAATATCTCATCTCTAAATCTTACAATCTGCACCTATAATGTTCAAGAATACAATGAAAATCTCAAATAGCAAGTCTGAGAGGATTACTGTATTACTTATTTCTTAAACATTATCAGTATTACAGAAATTAAAATAGCAAAAGATAATGCTATTACCAAATTTCATAACTCAAAACACTATTTCTATTACTGGTCATGTACTAATAGTTTCAAAGCAGGAACTGAACTCATAATTCACAAACACCTCACATTTCATATACACAATATTTTCACTCTTCCTGGCTATGCTATAGCTATAGACCTTTTCTTTAAACATGATTATAAATTCTGAATTAACTCTATATATCTACTATGTGAAAACTCACAATTAAGACTTCAAATTCAAAACACCATTATTCAATGAATTCAAGAAGCTACTAATCGAAACATTCTACCTATAATACTAGATGACTTTAATGTACCACCTAACAACTTCATCTCCTCATCTATTAAATACAAACTATTGCAATTTTTACAATATAATAATATTTATAATCTGGCAAACTATACAAACATCTCTTCTTATATCTGACATAGCAGTAGACACCACAGTACTATCAACTATATTTGGGCCTACCTTTCTTTACTTAAATACTTCAATTCTTTCTACTTGGATAATGCAGAAAACTGCACACAAAGTGATTACAAAATTTTTATATCCTCTTGGACATTCTTTCATGCCCTTATAGGCAAAAATAGAGATTTAACTAGAACCAAACATAGAACTTTTAACTACAAAATAATGAATAAAGAGCAATGAGAAACCTTTGCTAACTAAGTTTCTCTTAACTTCACTATTAACAAAACACCTCTTTCTACTCAAACCTCTAAATCTCTTGAAACTACTTGGCATAAAATCCAAACTAGTATTATTAATACTGCTACTAAATGCATTTCTAATAAAAAAAAACAATTCACAACTTTCAATACTCATTTTCAGCTAAAGCTATTTTATTTCATCTAAATTTCAAAAAACTCAACAACATTATTAGACAAGTTAAAGCCTCTTTAACTAATTCATTACCTATACCTATACATCTCAATCCTATTACATACTATCTTAACTCAACACATCACCTTAATATACCTTTTATACCTAACTCTTATGAGCTTATACCAAGCTGAATTACTACTACTAATACTGAATAGCAAGCTCTTTATCATGCCTGAAATATAGAAAACATTAAACAAATCTGAAAACAAATAAATTAGCATATCAATCTTAGATGCTCCAAACTCCAAACTAATTCCAAACTTATGATCAATAGCATACTCAATCATCATAAGGATCTAGTAAAATTTAACAACATAAAAACATCAAATCATATTATCACAGAATCCAAACTAATTAAAGAACACATCCAACATCATTTCAACAACTAAACCATCTACAGACCTATTAATGATCATGAATTTAATATCAACTGATTAGCAGAATATGAACCAAAAGCTATCACTAGTTCAGACTATTATAATTCAGCCTTGGCTGAATTTTTACTTAATAAAATTACTAGAACTTTTAACCAACTTCCCAATAACAAAGCATATAGACCATCTGGAATTAGCTATAAAATACTTAAACAGGCTGGTTCCACTTTCTTCAAGCAATAGTTGCTCTTTTTAATTGATGCATTCAAACTTCTTATATACCTAAGTAATAAAAAGAAGGCTGCATCTTTTCAATATTTAAAAAACCTATTTTGATAGAAACCACTCTAATACAAGACCTATCAGCCTTGTTGAACATATAAAGAAACTATATACAAAACTTCTTACTAACCATCTTAATCTAATATTTACACAACATTCTATTCTATCTCTTTACAACTATATTGCTTTACATGGCAATAGCACATCTATTCCTATATATATACTTAACAATATTATTGAAGATGCTAGTTGCAACAACAAACAATTATGGCTTCTGTCACAGGATATGAGCAAAGTATATAATTCTGTCAATTTAGAACTTTTTACAAAGTCTCTTAAATGGATATCAATGCCCCAAACACTCATTAATATACTTACTAACTTTCTTACTAATCATCAAAACTGAGTTATATCTAATCTTAGTCTTACTAACTTTTATTTAGTTAAAATAGTACAGATTAAAGAAACTATAACTCTATTATTCTGAAGAATCTATTACGATTCTCTAATACATAAAATTGCCTCACAATTTTCAGACTACTCTTTATCTGCATTCTGAAAAACCAACTTATATTCATCTTAAGCCCAAACTTTAAAAACATCTGTATCAGTTTTAGCTTATATAGATGATACTTTCTGGATTGCAAAGTCCAAAGAGGAGCTTAATCTAATAACTAAAACTGCTACATCCTTCTATTAAATGACCAATATCCAAATTAATCTGACAAAATCTATTCTAGCCACAAACTCTTTTACCACTTCTATATGGTTTTTTGAATTTTTAATTTATTCTATTCCTAAAAACCAACTTTTCAAGTTTCTCAAATATTGGTTTACACTTAATAACAAACAATCTCAAGTTATTAAACTAATAAAAGAAAAGGCTTATAATCTTGTCAATATCACCAGCACAAAAAAAATTATTAACAAACAAATTGCTTATATTATTAATACAGTAAACATTCCAACTTTAAAATATTGACTATATAATACTATTTTTTCTCACACTACATGTAACTAAATTTTATCTAAATACCTTACTGTAGCAAAACACAAGTCTCATCTTTCCAGATCTATATTAAATAACACAATGCTTAACCTATATTTATATAATATTTATAATATATGAGACATTCAACTTTAGCATTATATCCCTAACTATCTTTAATAAATCAACAACTCTAATCTTCTTGGCATTACAACTCAAATTAGACTTCAACAACTACAAAATAACTTATAGTCTTCTATTAATATTTTATATCATCCTAAATCAATTATTGATAGTCCTAACAGACACTCATTAAACTTTAAAATTATTCAACTTTTTATCTATCTTGGCTTAGTAATCTCAGCCAACTCTAATATTATATGGCTTCATACAATTAGTAATAAAGGCTAGTCACTAGAATCAATCTTATCTCAACATTCTAAATATCCAATTTTTAAAAAACAACTTAGACAATCTAATATTATATAACTTGAACAACTCTGCACAACTAACAACAGTACCTTATTAGATTGGAAACATCTTTCATCTAGATTTTTATTCTTGTCTAAAGAAAGAAAACCTTTTTGGTTTTCCTATTTAGAAGATACAATTTTAGCACACTCTTACTACCAAAATATACTACCACACTACCAATCACCTGAGCATAACTCTTATGCTTATTACACCATTAATATATCTAAAAAACTTATAAAATCTAAACTTTGGTTACTTTCATATCACAATAAAGAAATTATTATTGGAAAAATACAAAAATATTTTTCCTCATCTAACTATTACTCTATTACTCATTGGACTTCCAATATAGATTTAAATTACTCAAAATTTTATCCTTTACTCCCTGCTGAATACAAACAATATACAGGATGCCACCTTAATTCTTACAGAATTAACCAACTTGTACTGTTGAAGTTTCTGCAGTTATTTTAATACAATTTCTTGGCAAAACTAATTCCAAACACCAACTTAACCTCAATGCAAATTACTTGGATCTTATCTGCTTTACAGCTGTCAAGCATTCAATCTGTATTTCTTTTCTATCTATAATTCCTATTTTTAATTCAATCACTTTTAAAATCTTTATTCCAAGTGAAACTACCAACAAACTCATATCTATCTCTTAACATAACTACTCTTACCAACAACTATTCTTTTATACTGATGGCTCAGTAATCGACATTGGTACTAACCAATGCACAATGGATATTGGTTAGATCCAAGTTGATAAGAATAATCAAACTATTAACTCCTTTTCTGCTAAAATACAATTTTGGCCCTTATCATATAAAGCTAAGCTTCTCTCAATTATTATTGCAATCTCAACAGCTCTATACAATTTTGTAGTTAATATTTTTACTAATTCTCAATCAGTAATTTCTAAATTTAACAACCTTCAACTTTATTCAAATCATCCTAATAAGCTATTTAAATTCAGCCCATGGCCTATTTGGTACACTCTTTCTAATATTATTAAATCATACAAATTACAAATTATTTTTCACAAAGTGCAAGCCCACTCAGATAATAATCTTAATAAGCAAGTAGACTCTTTTGCCAAACAACATCCATTATTACCATTTCTTTTATTTAATTACACAAACCTTTATATTTCTTACTATGTTCTTTAATAGGAGCAACATTATGTAGAACTTCCTACAAGATATTTTATTAAGCAAATATGTAAAGACACATATTAGCTATATGGGCATCTTAAAAACATAATAGTGAGTAGTCATACTTCAATCAGGATATTGACTGAAGATCCACTTGGCTCTATTTTAATCATAATCAAAAACCCTTACACAATATTACTAATTTTAGACTTAACTAACTAAAATTCTTTAAAATTAAAACTTTTTTTAATGAGTTACCAATATACCAACTATTTTATACTATTTATCCAAACCAATATTCAGATACTAATTGCTTTTACTGTAATCTAGCTAATTCTTATTCTTACTAATGTACTTGCACTAATACACTTTTTCTTAACCAAATTATTTAAACATCTAACAATTAAATTATTTCTAGCAAATTACCTGATCTTGATACTCATCACAAAAACAATCTAATTTATAAAATCCTACATTACCCAACTTTCAACTCCTTATACACCTTATCTAACACATTTTATCCTAACCTTACTCTCAAAGAACTCATTTCAAAATCACTCATATTAACAGTTCAAAACTTTGACATATTATACAAAACTGCCTTATAAGTTATTATTTATATTCTTCTTAATATTAATGAACAATTATATGAACAATTATGAAAAACATCTTGCATTCATTTCTCAAATTAGAAAAAACAACAAAATAGACCTCAATCCCAACTAATCAACAAACCTTCAATATTACCTAACTTAGCAAATAAGCATACATGTTTCTGTAGAAACTATACTTACTTATGCCTCTGTGGACTTTCAGATCAAATACATATTTACTCTAATACATGCTCTCCTATTAGCCAAGCAATTTGCAAAATCAACATTTGGTCTATTCTATGGATTAAATATAGCATATTATTAAATTATATACTAAATATTCAAATCTAAATGAGCTTTGCTACTCTAGTAGGTTTAGGTCACAGATAAATTAGTCTGAGCTTTTATTTTTGCATGTAATTTTCAATTTATTTGTTTTGTACAAATAGTAGTAGCTGTATAGTTAGCAGTTTAATAGTTAGTCCTAACTGCAAATGTTAACTTTAGTCATAGCATATATACATATAACTATTTTAAATTATTAATAAAGATATAAGCAAGGCCTCATCTTAATATCAAAAAAAAATAATAAATAAAAGATGATTAAAAATATTAGATAAAGAAGAAGTTCCAAAAATACCAGATTCAATATCTGAATGTTCTGATAATTTTAATAAACTTGAAATTGAAATAAAAAATATTGATTTATCTAAATATTAAAATTAGTTGATAACAAAGACATTTATTAAAAAATTATTAACTTTAATTATTTGAAAAAGATATTTCAAAACTACAAAAATTAAGAAAAGAACAATTAAGTAAATTAATAAAAAAACAATATAATGAATTAGATAATGTAATAAATACTTCAAAGGTATAGATGAATTAAATGAATTGAAATCTATAATTAATAATTTATTTTTATCCAAATCTCAAAAGGGAAAATTAGAAAATAATCAATTAAAAAAGATTGAAAAACTTAAACCTATTAAAAAACCAAAAAGTATTTCATTTGATGAATTAAAAGAACAAATTAAAAATATTGATTTATCAAATGCAGAAAAATTACTTGATGATAATGATTTACATCAAAATATCATCAATTCAAATTTACTATCAAATGATATTAATGATTTAGAAAATTTAAGAAATGAAAAAATTAAAACATTAATAAATAAACAATATAATCATTTTGAAGATTCAATAAATTTATTAGAATCTGAAGAAGATTTAGAAAGTTTAAAAAATCAAGTAATAAATAATAAATTATTACTAAAAAATCAAAAAGATAATATTTTAAATTTGATAAAAAAATAAATTAGATAAAACAAAAGAAGAAGAAAGGTTACAAAAAAAATAATAGAAAATATGATACAATCAAAAAAAATATTGATAAATTTTTAACACCAGAAACACTTGATAAATTTATTATAAAAAATATAGATTTTTTAAATAAAAAATATTTAACTGATGGTAGAAGTAAAAACAAATTAAATGAAATCCATAAAGAAAAAAGAAAATCATTAATACATCAGTTTAAAAAGGAAGAAAATAAAAAATATAACTTTTTAATTGAAGATATTAAAAATTGTGATGATTCATATTTACTATCAGATGAATATTATAATAAAATATATCATAATATTAAAGATTTAAATAAAGCTTATCTTTCTAAAGATAATACAAAATCAAACTTATATCAAATTAGAGAAAAAAGAAAGATGAATTAGAAAAAGAAGATATATAAATAATATGTTTTTACTTTGGCATTTTTTTTTAATTATTATTAACAATTGTTAAAATGCTTAATGAAAATGATTGGTTAGATTTTTTCATTAAAGAAAATATCCCTGAAAAAAATTAAGATAATTGGCAATTTTCTGGTTTAATTATTGAAAAATGTAAAATAGCAATAAATAATAGATGGGATAATGAAAATAATAATTTAATATTAAATTATTACATTAAACATTAAAATTATAAAAAAATAAATGTTTAAAAATAAAAAAATCTGAATTAAATAAATCACTTGATATTCTTGACAAAATTAATGAAAAAAATAGAAATACATTTAAATTATTATCTGAAGATTTTGAAATAGATAATATAAATAATTTAGATAATGAATTTTTACTATGTGGTATAAAAAAAGAAGATCTCTTAAAAGCTATTAGAGATAGAAAAAATACATTTTAATATAAAATAAATGAACCTAATAATGAATATAATAATAATAGTTTAGATTCAAATAAATATAAAAAAATATTAAAATCATTGGATGAAACACCAGAATGGAAATTTAAAAAAAAAAAAAAAAATAACACCAGAATTACTGAATAAATTTTTAGATAATTTTCTTCAAAAAAAAATGATAAAAATTTAGTAGAAAAAAATCTTGATGAATGGTTAAAAAAAGAAGATCCTTTATCTAACCAAGATAAATTAAAAGGATATAGTTTAATCAAAAAACTTAAACAGAAAATAAAAGTAGCTGAAATAAAAAATTCTAAATTTACTAGAAATATTAATAAAATTACAATATCTGGTATTTTTTTTTTTTTTAAATCTTTGGCAGCTTGCCGATCACCTTTATTAAGAGTCTTATATACATAATTTGTACAAAGTTGGCTTAAATTCTGGCTCGACATCCCCCGGCTGCTTCTATGAGTGCTCAGGAGTGGTCTGCCACACTGGCCAGACAGTGGTCTAGCCAGAGGGCTATACCAAGCTAGCCATTAAAACTATAAAAAAATGGTCTTATTTTCCTTTCTATATAATTCCTAACCGAACTGAACCACGAACTTTGTATTTTTTTTTCTTCTTCTTTTTTCTTTTCTTTTATAGCTCGGCCTTGGTCCTTCTCTAAACCTCTACTATCCATCCCCTTTAACACATTTTTAGCTATATCACTTCTTGGATTATTATCTTTCTTTTTCTTGTCTGCAAAGCTAATTCTATTTGTCTTTTCCCATTTAGTAACTGCTTCACAGTGTTTTTTCCATATGTTTTCAAAAAAGCCATTCTATACTGTATTTGTCCATATTGTTATAAACTCTTTAGCTTCTTTAAGTGTTTGGGTAAGACTTTGTATTTTTATTTTGGTTTCTTCTTGAACTAGCCCTTTCATGCTTTTGAATCTATATTCTTTTTTCTCTTCTGCTAAATCACCCCATAAGATTTTTGTTAGTTTTAACTTGCTTGTTTTTTTCTGAGTTTCTTCCGAGAGAACTGTTCAAGCCAAATTAATAGCTAAGTTTTCTGTAATGGTCTAACCATTTTCATGGCCTTTACATGTAGCTAAGTGTTCTTGGTCTTCTTCTTGGTCTTCATTACAGAGAATGCAATATGGCATTTTGTATAT